AGATGGCAGTCATCCGTTGAATAAACATCTACTGTGCTGGGATGTCGCAGGCTGCATGCGCCATCTGTTTATTGACTGATGGTTTGTGGGCATCACTGGCTGATAGACATTGACTATGACAGACTTCCCCAACCAACCAATACCTCAACTTGAGGCATACAAGGCCATGAACACATCATGCCCTCTGCCCTCTGTCTCCAGCTCAGAGCTGGGACACTGCTACTCCTCATGTAGGCGAAGAACAGACATCAGCCTGCCAACTGCTGACCCTCAGGTGGGGCTGGTCAGATCTCCCTCTCACCTTGTTTGGATTGATTGTGTCTTCAAGACTGTGGCACTGGTTGTTTTCATTGCTCTGAGCTTTGGTGTGGGGGCCTCCGGTATCTGTCGGATAGCCCCAGCCAGTTGCAGACAGTCTTCATGGACCACTCTCACTAGGTGGGTATCTGCAGTGTGTCAGCCGCCTGTGAGCAGCCCCCTCCCTGGGGGAAGAGGCATCCATGGTGTATCACCGCCTCCCTGACATTTTCATGGAGTTCAAAGCTTAAGTTGGTTTGGTGCTGACATTTTGGATTAGCTGGTTGACTGGAAGGGCTGCTTCTTCCTATACGCTGTGAAATTTATAAACCGCAGCAGCTGAGGGCTTAAGATGGCCGACAACCCCCAGCTGGCAGCAATTAAATACACTGCCGACCTTTGACTAAACAAAGGCTTGTGGAGGCAGAGTTACTGCACACACCAAACTGACTCCTGTTAAAGAGAGTTCATTAGCAAGAAACACTTAGAACTATGGAGAGGTGGGGGAGTGGGCTTTGCCCCCTCCTGTTTAATGATCCCTTATCCCCTGGGTCCTAGAACCAAACACTGCCCAAGTGGCAGCACACCATGAGTTATGGTGGTCATGTGGAAAGGAGTGAAGCCACCAAGGAGGCTGGAGGAGGACAGAGCGAGGCACCAGTGTAGTTTCAGTATTGATGTTTGTGTTCCAGCGCCAATGGCAGGATCCACAGCTACTCCACTATTTTTGTTGGATGTTGTCCTTTACGTTGAAAGGAAAATGTGGAGTGAGAAACACCAAGACCATTTTATTCCCACGCAGGCAGCAGGCTTGAGAATCTAGACTGGGTGGGCAAAGGCACTGCCACACAAGCCTGACAACTTGAACTTGATCCCACAAGTTGTCTTCATACACATCACTCACACATCTCTCTCTCACACGCACATGTAAATAAATAAATAATTTAAAATAAAAAGAATCTAGGGACTGGAGAGATGGCTCAGTGGTTAAGAACACTTGCTCTTCTCCCAGTACCCACATGGCAACTAACAACCATTCATAACTCCAGTTGCAGAGGATCTGACACCCTCTTCTGGCCTCTTTGGGCACTGCACACATGTGGTACACTTATATACAGCCAAGGCACTCATACATATAAAAGATTAATAAATAGAGTCTAGATTGATCAGTGTTTCCAAGAATCAATTTAAATTTAAACCAATTTAATTTTGGTTTGGTGGGTTTTTTGGGCGGGTGGGGACACCTGGTCTCGTATAGTCCAGGCTGGCCTTGAATTCACTTTGTAATTGAGGCTTGCCTTGGAATACTGGTCTTCCTGCCTCTACCTGCTGAGTGCCAGGCTTCAGGCATTACAGCAGCGCTTACTTACTGGCATGTCTCCCTCTTTCTTTTCCTTTTTTTTTTCCTGTTCTTTCCTTTGTTTTGAGATCGGGTCTTATGTCAAATTAAATTTAAAATTTAGTTTGTTCATTCCACTGCACATTTCACATGCTCAGTAGCCGCACGAGGCCAGTGGCAACGTCCCAGACAGTAACAGGTGTTGGATGGGGTGTGGATGGCTAGCATCTCTTAAATGCATTGTTGGTGGGAGTGTAAAGAATAGTTTGGCCCTTTAAATGTAGTATCTAAAGCTGGGAGTAGTGGTGCACACCTTTAGTCCCAGCACTAAGGAGGCGGAGGCAGGCGGATCTCGGTGAGTTCAAGGCCAGCCTGGTCTACATAGTGAGTTCTGAGACAGCTGGGCCTACTGGGAGACGCTGTCTCAAAAAGACGTAAAAAATAAAAATAGTATCTAATACTGACATGAAAATGAGCCTTGAGCACACGTTGTGCTCTCCTCTAGGCCCAACTCTGAGCACCGTGTACAGCCCGGCCACCAACAGGGCCTTGGAAATTGGAGGTAATTTGACATCTGTTGGGAAGATGACAAAGAGACCAGCATAATACATAGTCAAGGCCTCCTCTAGCAGGGCGCTACACTGCCTACATTTGGGTGTTTCTGTGGGTTTGTAGATTGCAGGCTAGAAGATAATGTTGCGAGGAGAGAGAAAGTTTGAGGAAAGGCCTGAGTGGAGACCACTGAGTCAAGGAATAACTACTGTGCGTGTGAAATCTTTTTGGTAGGGATGGGCACATTTACTTCCATTCTCAGTTGACCCATTGGTATGCGTGTGGTTTCCAGGAGCTCAGGCACACACACCGCCACCTTGCGTTGGCTGACCAGACTTCCTTGGATCCCATCAGAGAGATGGAGAGCCTACAGTAGGTCTCCACCCACATTGGAGCTTTTTCCCTCAGCTTTGCGCTCCAAAGAGAAGTTGGTTTCTTGTAGGGAAAAAGACACATGTCCACAAGTGCCAGTTTCATGGTGGCACCTTTATACCAGCTCCTTTCTTTCCTTAATGGACTAGAAGGACACCTTGGCCCTTCCGTTTGGAGGATGAAGTCCTGATGGTTCACACTTGCCCAGTACTGACTGTTAGCTTTCAAAGCTCAGAACCTGACCTTTGCTTTACAGCTCAGTGAATGCCTCAGACTGCTGCCCATACACAAAGGCATTCACAGTCTCTGTTGCTCCTCTCCAGACAACCAGGTGCTACTGAGCAAAACCTTTTCCTTATGGTATGTATACTCTTCTCCTGGAGAGCCAGGCCATAAATACATGTACCTGTCCAAGTGAGATAAGCTTTGAGCAGCGACTGACTTGATCTAAGTGACATTTCAGAATGAGCTATTCTCATCAAGGTGAGGGAAACAGGCAAAGGTGGAAGCAGAGAGAGTAAGCAAGAAGCTGTTGTGATGATGCCATATCCCCTGCACTGGGAGGCTGAGGCAGGACAGTGAGTGCAAGGCCAGCCTGAGCTATGTAGAAGTCAGGTCTAGCATGGGATAAGCTAATAAATCCAGAGGCCATTTGTTGGGAGCTGCTGAGGAGAAGGATCACTGGGTATGAGGTTCATATTGTAGGTAAGCTCACAGATCCCTGTAAGCTGGAACATGGGGTGAGAGGAATCAGAATCAAGCCTTATATTGAAAGGGTTGAGAACTGGGCTTCTGCTTGGTGTCCAGTGGCCCTTTCAGGAGTCTCATGGGTAAGAGGACAGTGGGAATGCCTGGGGACAGATCACATCCTTAGCCTGTCTAGACAGTGATCTGACAGCAGTTGTTTCACCAGGCCAGGAGACTAGACCTAGCCACGTGAAAAAGTCTACCCGGCACCTTCCCCAGGGCCCCTTGTATATGGTCATCTACCAGTGTCCACACGTACACACTTGCAAACTTCCTCTGCCAGTAGAGGAGACCTTGACTAGTGGTGTCTTCCTGCACCACCCTCCCAACTTTCAGGGAGAACTTAGGAATGAAGGAGCCAACAGTAGACCTAAATCTTAAAAGAGGAGTGGAAACAAGGCACAGCGGGAGTGTGTGAGTGTGTTAGAAATGAAACCACTTTTCCCACCCAGCCCCTCAGTGCAAATCACTAAAACTTCCTCAGGGTCCACATCACTCTGAAGAACACAGCTAAAGGGACATGAGGCATCCTCGCACCTCACTGGGAAACTGTCTGGGGCATCTGGCTTTCCGGCACATATCAGACATCCCCCATTGTGTCCTTTGGGCATCATGGCCTGGTGAACTCAACCTGACCTGGGTTCAGGAACACTTTGCAGTGATCTTAGCCTTGCAGCTAGCCTATGGCATGGCCTGTGGCAAATTCCAGACTGCCTCCTCCGGGTTCCTACCCCCATTTGCCCCGCTGGGCACTTCTCAGTCCCATGCTGCTGGTAGTGCCTGCTTCTGAAGTGCTGATTCAGTGTGGCAGCCTGTTCCTCTCGGAGGTATGTCTAGAGAGGGATGTTTTGCTTCAGTGGGTTCCAGGAACAAATAATAAAAAGTACAGCAAGTCCATGGCTGAGGACAGACCCAGTACACTCTTATCAGTCATCTGAAATATGCACCGCCTTTCCAAGACAAATATGGACTCCTGTTTCTAGGAAAACACCAAAAAGTATTTATCAATTACCCTGTCTATGGTTTGTGGAAAAAGACAACAGCAGCCGACCCTGAAAGCCATAGCAAAGCAGATTCCTTTGGGCAACGGACAGCCAAGTGGAATGATTTAGGGCTGCTGCAGAATCCCAGCTGTGGCCTGGGACTGGTCCACGGAGCCTCTGTTCCACTCACGTGGCCACTGCATCCCCCACCCTTTACCCAGGAGACTGAGCTCATTCCAGGAACCTAGAAGCAAAGCCCTACTCTCACTCTAGCCCCAAGGCCCCTTGGTCTTCCTTCTGAACCCACTGCAAGTCCACAGATGGCTGACCCACAGGGATTCCTAGAAAAATGAGATGTGGCCCACAGGAAGGCTAGTAATAGTGACTGTAGAAAGCTAGGGGTCGCTCACGCTAGCCAGCACAGCCTGATGGACACTGTGGCCAAGAGGTAGGTGCTGTCATCCCATTTCAGAGAGAAAAGTGAAAAGGAGGGCTAAGGGAGTCAGCTGACAGCCAGTAATCCACTAGCTCAGAAGAACTGTGAGCTGCTGTGTCTGAGTTCACGGTGGGTATCTCCCACTTTCTCATAGGTGCGCCCAGGCCTGCTGCAGCTCACGTCCGCCTTGTACTCAGTGGTGCTTTCTTAGGTGAGGAAGGAAAATTCTCTTGACCTTGACACTTAACCTCTTCCTGTCCATTTGCCCCCCTAGGACCCAAGCCCAGAGGGTTCGGAAGCCACGTTGCTGCACAGGACCCCAGGGCCTGCTTCCCCGCTATTCTGAGAGCCAGGCAGAAGGACAGGAACAGCTCTTCAAACTAACAGACAACATCCAAGATGAGTTGTAAGTGGGGTCTTGGAAACTGTGCATTTCGACCACTGTGTTGCCGTGTCTGTCGTTAAGTCTAAGAAATTTCTAGGTGACTGAAGAGCCTCAGGCTGACTCTGTCCTTGGCAATGGCCAGGGAGTTGCTTGTCCTACATGTTGGACAGGTGTCAGTGTGACTACTTGTAAGTGGCCTTTACTTACTGTCTGTGTGCTGCAGTCAGACTTTACTGTTTTGTTTCTAAAATTCTACTCTGCAGATAGCTCAGTGAGAGAGCAGTGCATTCTCAGTGTTGAGAGTTTTTGTCCCCTGTAGGTTTTACTTAAACTCTGATACCCAGTATTTGCTGTAGAATGCTAGCAAAACAAAACACAAACAAGTATCAAACAGCTAATAGTCAAGTGTTCTGGAAATGCAATCTTCTTGTTTTACTACTCTTCCAGTAACTAGGATCTTGTCACATTTTCAGCTAGTGAGATAGCTTCTAGCTGACATGGCAGATATGCCGCTCTTTGGGATACTCTGTGGAGTCCGTCAGCATAAATGCTCAGTAACTTGACCAGGTATTGGAATCACAGCCATAGGAAGGTATTTTGTCGGGGGAGTGGCAGACTGCCTGTATAACTGCTGTATTCCTGTTTGTGTTTTGTAAGGTGAGGTGAGCCAGGGAGACTGAAAACTGTAGGCGTTGCTGTGGTGGAAGAGTTCAAATACAGATTACCTTTTGGGATGGCCTTCAGTGCCGTTGGTAGAGATGGTGCCAGGGAAACCTCCTCTCATACATTTTGTAGCCCTGTTGGAATGCAGATGTAGAAAGTGAAATCTAGGATTCTTGTGGCACTTGCTGGATAGGGTGTGTCATTGTCCTAGCTGTGTCCTGTATAACTACCCCGCCTCCCCCAGTGTTATTGGAATATCTCTTAATAATGTCTATGTATTTCTTCCTCTGCACCTGCTTGGTTGTCAAAACAAAATACTTGTGGATGAATGACCTCAGCAACAGAGAATTAAGTCGTCACATTTCTGAAGCTGAGCGGTCTAGGACCATTTTTGCTCCATGAAGCCATCTTGTGGCTTGTAGCCTCCTTCTTGCTGTGACCTCACATGGAACATGGCTCTTGTGTCTCATCTGTCTCTCAGAACTCTTCTAGATCAGGGCTCCAACCTCATGACTTCATTTCACCTCAATACTTCCTCACTCCAGATAGTCCCATTGAGGGTTAAGGCTTCAATATGGGGAAGGCCACCATCCAGCCCATAGCATGTACCATGAATTGGTTCTACCCTTTTACTGTAGCCTCAGACCTAATAACCCTGATGCCTAGAGTCCCTATGTGGTTTCCCTCTAGGGAGTGAAAGCTCTGGTCTTCTCTGGGTTGGGATTTGGTGCCTCAGCTGTCCTTTATACAACATTGTTGATGGGACTTTAGGCCTTAGAGTCAGTGACCCAGAGAGTCATTTCTCAGCCAAGCTGGGCACAGTATGGAGTCGACTAAGGTGGCAGCCCAGGCTAGGGTGTTGTTCCAGGTACTGGAGAACCTTTGAACGTGGAGCAGGCCTGGCCTTTGACTTACTCAGTAAATTCAGCCAGATAGCTGTAGTTCAGCATTCAGCCTTGTGGAGATGGAGGGGTGGTGGCAGAGATTAAGTAAGCAGCTGGAGAAGTAGCTCAGCTGGTAAGATGTTTGCCTAGCATGCACGAGGCCCTGGATTCAATTCCCAGCACCACATCAACCAGGAGTGGTGGCATATGCCTGTAACCAGCGCTTGAGGATTGCAGTTCAAGGTCATCTTCAACTCCCAACGTAGAGAGTTCCTGCCAGCCTGGGCATAGGAGTCCCTGTCTCAAAAAAAAAAAAAAAAAAAAAATTTTTTTTAAGGGTTAAAAAAGTTTTTAGGTCGTTGTTTTTT